AAAAAAAAAAAAAAAAAAAAAAGAAAAAAGAAAAAAGAAAAAAGAAAGAGAAAAAAGAAAAAAGAAAAAGGAGGGAGAATAAGCTTTAAAAAGGCAAAACAAAGAAAAGCAACTGAAAATGTCAAAGACAAAGCAACTCTTCTGCCAGTTCCCTCTGTCTACAGAAGGAAGCACAAGAAATCCTCAAATTCCACTGGATCATCTAACTCTTCTAAATCTGTAACATCTTCCCATCTCTTCTGACTGAGAATTTAGTATATACCTATAGCACTTCTTTATACAACCTCAACCCCAGAAGTTTTGTTTTTTTGTCTGTCAAGATAATATTCCCACTGATGCGTGCAGAACTGTTTTTGCAAAATTCATGGGCTGATGGTCTTTATCTGCAAGCCACCTTTATTCACAGGTGCAAAGAGTATTCACTGTAGCAGTACAGAGCTAGAGAGAAAACATTCAGATTCATTCCTCTTATTGCAGGATTCAGCTAAACCAGGATATGTGAAGAGTCCAGGCTGAACTCTGATGAGTTGAATGGAGAGGAACCTGATGAGGTTCAACAGGGGCAAGTGTAGAGTCCTACACCTGGGGAGGAATAACCATATGCATCAGTACAGGTTTAGAGCTTGACTTGCTGAAAAGGAGCACTGTGGAGGAAGGTCCTGAGTCTCCTGGTGGACAACACGTTGGCCACGAGCCAGCTCTTTGCCCCTGTGGTCAAGAAGGTCCATGGGATCCTGGGGTGCATTACAGAGAGCGTGACCAGCAGGGCAAGAGGTAATGCTGTGGTGAGGTCACATCTGGAGTACTGTGTCCATTTATGGGCTCCTCAATTCAAGAAAGACAGGGAACTGGAGTGCTGGAGGGAGTCCAGTGTAGGGCCACAAAGATGATGAAGGCATGGAGCATTTCCCTGATGATGAAAGGCTGAGAGACCTGGGGCTGTTCCATCTGGAGAAAAGAACGCTTATAAATTTCTAATGGGCAGGAGTCAAATGGATGGGGCTCTTTTCAGTGGTGCCCAGTGACAGGACGAGGGACAATGGGCACATTTGATGAGCTTGCAATTTTGAATGAAGTATATTTTCTAGAAAAGAAAGTTTCCATGCAGATGAGTTCTTCAAAATTACCAAAGTTACTTAGGGAAGTTCATGAGCTTTTGTTCTTTGTTAAGAACAGATCCACGAGCAAGTTTTATTACTTGTGTTAGAAGTGAGATAGCTAATCCTCACACGAGGAACTAGAAATTTTTGCAGTCTGAGGTACAAAGCAGTTCCAGGAACTGGACAAGCACAGCAGTATAAAAGCTGTTAGCATCATATAGGGAGTATACACAGGCACAATAGGTCATGGTACCTAAATGTCTATGCAAATAAAGCAAAAATAACAAGGGTCTCTATAGTTATGCAGGGAGTCTCCATGGAGTCCGGATGAGAAATCACAATAGAGTTAAATACAGGCATCTCTGTCAAGACAAGATTATTTGTGTTGCTCCTTGATTGACTGCAAATGTTTCTCCTTTGGATTAGCTAAATTCTATAGGGACAAATATGCTATTCAGTAATTTACATGTAAATGAGGATGCATAACACTGCAGAATTATTTTATTCTGAGCATCCACTGTTCTGAGCTATGTCAAAATCACTACGCAAAGATGGGCTTGTATGTGGCAGCATTTTAAAGATCACATTTGGGAACTGGGACAGCTTTAATTTTCCTTGTACAGTAAAAATCTTTTCAAGCATAAAAGAGGTGGACAGGGCACACCATGAACAGTGGACCCAAAAAGGCACAAAAATACATATATTTAATGAAATTGGTGGTGATCATAATAGCACACAGCCTTAAGAATAAAGGCATTTAATTTCGTGAATACTTGATTCTTTAAAGAGATGCACAGTAACTTGGAGAAGCTTGCAATATTTGTGTTAAATCTGAACAATTTACCACAGGTGTGGTCTTATTTTGGGATGTGCTAAAGTAAAGTTTCAAGCGAACAGAAACTGAAGCCATGATGACAGCAGCCCCAGTGGACAGCCAGAGAGCTTCCAGCCGTATGACTTCTTGGTGGCAGTGCTTGGATGACTTATTGTGTTGACCTTTTTCTGAACAAAAACTGCTAACACTGCCTTTTCCACAGTCCTGGGGCAAAGGCAAGGAGGGGGAAAAAAAAAAAAAAAGATAAGAAATTCTACCTTGGGGGGGATTTAAGGTCAACAAATTACTGAAACCCATGTGGTAAGCAAAACAGCTTTCCGCTTAGAAATAAGAAGAGCCAAGGTCTCTTCTTTTTGTGTTAAAAAACAAAAATTCAGTCTGAAGATAAGCTCCTAAATCCTCAGTTTGGCACCTCAACAAACTGCCTTGCCTTTACTCAGGGCTCACTTACCCAGCAGTTTTCCCTCCTAAAAATCAATTCCTGGATTTTTATTTTACTGAAGGAGAACAAAAACTGTGATGAAGAGGAAAGTCAGCAAAGGTTGGGAGATCTCAGGTAGCCCCAACCTTTCCCTTGCTGCCTATTCCAAAATCATGTTTTGGGTGGTCCTGCTCTGCTTCTGATGAGTGGATGGTGTCCTCTGTAGTTTTTAGCCTTCAAAAAGTCACAGGTGCTTTACTTATCTTCATCAGATCCCATGGATAAACTGAGCTCCCAATAACAGCTCACTAATTTAATCCAATTCTGTCCAAATGGATCAGTATCTTGTGAAGGGAGGTGCTATTCTAATCTACATACACCGAAGCACAACAGAGTAATATACAACTACAAATAAATTCTAGATAGGCACATGGAGACTTTAGCCTTCACTGTGCCCTGAAGTTGCTTAAATAACATTCAGACTTTCTCTAAGAACAAAGAAAGTTCAAACCTCCAGCCCAACGATTGTTATCAGCAATAAAGGAAGAATTATTTTCAAAATGTATCAGTCTCAAAGCAAGAAAAAAAAAAAAAAAAAAGGACTTAAAACCAGGTGCAGCTTTCAGCCTATTTATGCCAGGCTAAGCCTGCTGAAATCAGCAGCTGCACCATTTCAAGAAAGCTGGTGGGAAATCAGAGCCAGTCCTGATTCAGTGCTCTGAGGATCATGGGGATCTCCAGGAGAATAATTTGGACTTTGCACATGTTTCCTACCACCAGCACCCTGCAAACCTCCAATATGAGCCTCTTGCTCTTCACATCCAGGCAGGCTGCTTGGCCCAGAGCTTTTGGAGAGTGTCTGCAGATCATACTTTTACATTACACTTCTTTACTCTTCATATGACCTTTCTAATTTGAACATTGCAGCACAACCCTAGGACTAGCCAGCAAGGACTGCTCCCCAGAATCTCTACTGGATGGATGCCATTCTGCATGGACCACGTCTTCCATGACCAGAAAGACAGTTGAACATTCAAACTACTCTACATAACTGGACTGAATGGTCTAAGCACCATCCACTGAGATTAGCTGAATTTCCTCCTGATTCAGTAGGTGTATTTAGGAATGAAGGAGACAGAAAATGTAAGAACATGGTTAGTTTCTCATGGAAGCAGACTCACAACTTCTCATGCCAAGAACCAGGACCAGCATAAAATGAAGAGCATTTAAAAGTCATATTTGACTTACATAGAATCAGAGAATCATAGAATGGCTTGGGTTGGTTGGAATCTCAAAGATCATCTAGTTCCAGCCTCCCTGCCACAGACAGAGCTGCCCATCACTACATCAGTCACTAGATCAAGTTGCCCATCCAGCCTGGCCCTCAACATCTCCAGAGATGGGACAGCCACAACTTCTCAGTGTAACTTCTCCCAAAATCTGGTATGAGCAGTGTGGATGTTGTCATGTCACATCAGTTGCCACCACAGCCAGTACCACTGGCAAGCAGCCCTTGGCTGGCATAAAGGCAGAAAAACTGATCATTGCAGTCCCAACTGCATTGCCTGGAGTAAATTCTAGGCTGAAAGATGCTAAGAATGAACAGGCTAAAATTGTAGAAGTGGGTCCTTTCTTCACATGGGTTTATATGCATATGAAACAAATAACAGCAGTGGGGCTGGTAGGGTTAATGAGCTAACTTCATCTTCACCCTGTAACATCTTCCTTCTAGCTCCCCCAAGAGAAAATAAAAAGAAGCCAGAACTACTAAGCAGGAACAAACTTAACTTCAAAAATTTTAACAAGAAAATAGCAAAAATAATCCAACACAGAGCCCTAGAGGTGTTATCTCTGAACACACCGAGGTTTTCGATTTGCTCTTTCCTTCTGCCTGTGCCCCACAGCTGCAGCTGCACGTATGTGCCCAACTCACATGGTTTCTGTAGCAAATGCATTTGTACAGCAGTGGGCTTCTTTCCAATTAGCTTTTAACTCCAGCTCACATTTTCTGGCTAGATTAGATACCAAACCAGCTTTGCAGGAGACACAACATCCTTCACATTGCATCACTGACCAAGCATCTGTTTCTATAGTGTCTGGGTGTTATTTCCTAGATGACCAGGGAACTGCTTAGTGAGCTTGCACACTCAGGCCATTTCATTTTCAACATCCATTTTCAAAAGGCAGGAAGCTGGCAAACGAAAAGAAACGCCAGCAGAGCTCGAAGTCTCCCTGCCACCTCAGGGCCCAATCCTGTAAAATACCATTTTTTGCTGTAAAAGCTTGAGTGCTCACATGGTTTGTTGAGCTTTCTGACAGCTGCGAGAGCCTCAGCAGGCTGCAGAGCTGCTTGTCTTACAGAGAAAAGGGGACATCCACTGCTCATCTACTTAAGCCCCTACCCCTGTATGTAATGCTTATATATTTTTTAAAAGATGCACAAACTCCTTCTTCCACAGTTTCTTTAACATGCAGCTTGTTATGCCGCAAGCATAATCCCAATAAAAGCCCCCCATCTTCAGCCTGTCTATTGCTCTGTAGCCTAGAGATTGCTCTCAGGACTGATCTCTCTTGCTTGCAAAGAGTCGATTGGGAGTACCGAAGTCCTATATGACTGTGAACATCTGAAAAAGCAGAAATGGCCCCAGTATTGTCAACAAAGCAGCAATGGCCTCAATACGGTCAACAAAGCAAATCATTCTCATATCAACATGCTTCCCACAGCTTCCCATACACAGAACAGCCCCTCGCATTTATAGTATGACAGTCTATTTAAAGGGCTACAGGGAGTGCTCAGATAGGTGAGGAAAATATTCAGACCAACGCTTGAAAGGGAAGGAGCCACCTTCTCTATAGAGAAAAGAAAGCTACTTCTCAATTTACTGATAATCTGACACCACAGCTGGGATCTATCTCATTTGCCTTTCTTTTCAGGAAATACCTTGCCTAATGCACATTAGAACATCACTTGCTTTTCACCCTCTCAGCGTAATCCATTTTTGATATGTGGTTACTCTATGTGGGTTTCATCTCACCTTACTTAAGACCTTTGTGATATGAAGTTTTTCACCCTGGGCTCTTATTGTTTTCAAAGAACAGAGACGCTTTTAGGGACAGAGATTATTCCAATGCATTTCAGATCTCTAAGGTGAAATAAATCTTGCCCACGTTCACATAGTGACTAGACTTCTATTGCTTTAAAGATTGTTAAGATGAGCTCCAATGTAGAGATCTACATTAAAAGAGGTAAATTCCCACCATATCAGTCATATGACAACCGGTCATCATTGCCCCACCTGTGAAGAAGCTATTTTCAAAACACCATCCTATGGTTTTCCAAGTGAATTCATTCTCACATCTTAACATATCAGTCTTAATAGTTTTACTTCCAGCCTTAAGAAATATTTTGCAACAATGGTGCTTTGCAACAAAGATTCTGGAAATCTTCTGATCATCTGCTCATCTGTCCTAACTGGATGCTGGAAATTTCTGGGAACTACTTGTGGACAGTAAGAACAGCCCTCCACAAGCAGCTATACAGAAGAGCTGAAGTTAGATGCATACAGATAAAAAAAAGAGGTAGAAAACGCAGTCTCAAGATGATAAGGTTGAATACAGAATCATTTTAAAAACATTATTTTTCTCCAACATACAATGTCAGATATTCAAGTGGCAAAGGAACCGACTTGAAAAATATCCCTTCAAGAAAAGGCATATGAATCCCAGTATTTAGTCCTTTCACAGCATCACAGAATATCCTGAATTGGAAGGGACCCATAAGGACCATTGAGTCCAACTCCTGTTTCTTCCAGTCAGCTCTGAAGGGCAAGTCTCACCTGAAGTTGTGAACTTATGTAGCACCAGATGCATGTCACTATGTGAGTTAGCCTGTTGCATTCCCGCCCTGCCTAGAATGGTGGGAAGTTTCTCACTGCAGATTGCATACTGTGTAAATAAATTACAGCAAACTCCAACAACATTCAGAAGGAAACGAGAGCATGAATCACATACAAAAGTTATAAAGTACTCACCAGATCGCCTGTCCCAGGTTTTTCCATAATAATTGGGGGGAGCAGTAACCCTGCAGGAGAAGTAGGGTCTGGGTTGAGTGCCCCGGTGCCTCCTCCTATCAGGGAAACCACACCATTGCAATCCACTGAGCTGTTCCTTTTGCCCGTCTGGGTGTAGCTGGGAGTAGTAGGGTGAGAACTATGGCTCACTTGACTTTGAATGCTTGGACGTCTCCCAGATCTTGGAATTAAGAGAGAGCCCCGGTGGCTTTCATTTTCCCCAGCGGTGCTGATCTCATCATCGGCAAAATCTGTTTCGGAGCCAGTGTCTCTACCACGGAGTCGGAAACTGAATATGCTTCCGTGGCTGGTTCTGCGCTTCACCAAGTTTGCACTGGGACCATAACTAATGCCAAGGAGAGTCTAGAAACCCCCAGAAAGGAAAAAGGGGAAAGAGAAACAACATTTTGCAACATGTTTTGAGGAGCGAGGAAGGTCTGGGGAGAATAATAAGTTCCATTTTAAATCAGGTGATTCAGAGAGAGATTTAATTACATGTATTCAACCTTTGCAAAGTTAAGAGGTTGAAAAATCAGTCCTAGCCATTAACACTCAGTAGTTAAAGATGTACTGAATTAGGAAGGGTCAAGGTGGCATTCGCCTGGTAGCGTGATGCTTCCTTTGCTTCTACTCCCTCCCCATATGGTCAGTGCCAAAGGACCTGGGAAGGCAGCACAAGGAGTGGAAGACAGGAGCAGGGAAGGGGATCTAGCTCCAGTTCACCGCATTTATCACACATCTTCGTAACAGCTGGGGAAGGAACGTTGCAGTGGGAGAACAAGAGATAAAGAAATAGGGCAGGAAATGAACTGTGGGAAGAAATGAGAAGAAGAGGGGAGAAGAAGAAGCAGAATACGGCGGAAGAAGGTGATAAAAAAAAAAAAAAAGAAGAGCAAGAAGAGGAATATGATTTATTGGTTTGTAGAATGATTACCCCAACACACATAGCTGCTTTGAGGGGTAGGCAACCTCTTTACACAGCAGTCTCCTTTACACCTAAATGCTAGCCTTGATGATCCACTCCGATGTCTGCTGGTGAGAATGCAACTCTGACAGAGCACCAGTAAGACGTAGCCAAGCACTAAACACATGTAAACCCTGACAGAGTGAAAAGGATGTTCAGAAAATGCATAAGGAATTCAAGTCTGTCCCCTTCCCTTACACTGTGAAGAGGAAATTAATGGAGTAAGAGCATTTAGGCAGAACATACTTTTGATTTTACAGCCTGCACAGAATTTTCAGCTTCTTCAGAACTTTCTCATGAGCCAAGTATATATGAAGAGAGGTCAGATCTCCACAAACCAGCAAAGCCAAATGAGCATTATTTCTTTTTTCCGCTGTAGCTCACACCACTGGATTATGTAATGACGCTATTTTGTGACACTGGTACACGGAAGCGTACAAAAACCAGGCTCCTTCTAACTAAAAACAACCCATTTGGATTGCTACCAAACTTTAACTGGTAAAAAAAAAATAAATATCCATGCCTGGGTTTCCATGACACAGTCATTGAGACTGATTTCTGATGGCAACACACTTCCAGCTGCTCAGATTGCATCTGAATGATGACTCAGCCTTACTCCCTCCAACCATGCCAGACACTGCCTTGCAGAGAAGATTTACTATAAGCTTTGAAATGTGTCTCCCATGTTTCCCATGACATCCAGGGGCAAAAAGTGAAAACAAGAAATATTAATTTAAGGAACATACTGCAATATACGACTCCAAACCATGATCATTCTGGTATGTAAAATCTTGAAATCCATCCAGAATGAAGCTAGACAGCAACTCTGGCTTTCACAAAGGTGTAATTTGTAACACAACTCACTGAACCAATGAGGCGAAAACAAAAACAGTTAAGATTTTAAAAAGTAAGTTATTTACAGAAATACAGCTCTGCATCAATCTGATAAGCTTGGGAGTCTGCAATTGGTCACATTTACTTAAATCACTTACTTGTTTTCTATCAGCTTTTTATGGCTGCCAAGTACCCCTAAATTCACTGACAACAAAATAGGAAAAGACTTAGCCCATTACATGGCTATTCAGAAAACAAACAAACAAAAATAAAAAGCACTGATTTTAACTTTGCCCTTAGTTAAGCAGAAACAAATTATCTGAAGCTATTTACCATCATTTGATACACACAGCATGTGCAGATTCATATTCATGCATGTCAGTATTGTTTATATAAAACCATATTTAACAACAGTCTCACTCTATTTTTGTTCCTGCAATGTAAAGAAGAAACAAGTGCCAAAAGTTTTGACTTGGAGGCAACTAGCAAAGGAATAGAAAAATGTTAATATCATCTTTATATATCATTAAAAATGCCCTCAGAGGCACATTTCCTCCTTTTCTGCTCCTCTCTTTTCTTTTTAAGCTTTGCAGGTTTTTTTTTCTCAGAATATTTTGACTCTAATAGGGAATGGACAGATATAATCAGATGAATGGAATTAGAGTAAGAAAATAAATCAGGCTGTGAGGGGATCCTGAAGCAGAAAAAAAAAAAGAAAAAAAGAAAAAAAAAAAAAAGAGAGACAAAATAGGTTCACAGGTTCACAAGAATGCTTAGTGAGCATTTTAAATTCATTTTGAAAAGAAAGTACTAATATGTTTCCTTTCACAGATCTAACACACAGTATCTCCAGGTCAGTCATCACATTAAATATTGACTCTTTTCTCCATCTGGAAGTTTCAGCTTTAATTGCATATTCAGAGCTTGGCCTACCCAGCAAGTGCAGTGAGAAAGAAGTGATGTTTCAGACCATGGCTTACCATTCTCCTCTGACCGTCATCATATTCACTCTTGGAATTCCTCTGGTCTTCCCCATACTCTTCTGCCCCCAAAGATTTCTTTTTCTTTCGCCTGTTTCTTCTTTCCTTGGCATTTTTGGATGCTAAAGGTGACATTTCCAGGGAGCTAAGTGACATTGAGTCAATCCCTTTAGCAGCTAGTGCCTAAAAGAGAAGATGCAAAGGTGCAAAAATTATTATTTGACTGTTGGATCCCAGTGAGCGTAAATGATTACTCATTTTTCGTTCTACGTTTTAAGTTTGTACAGGAAATCAATTAAAATTTTGAAGAGGTCATTAATGACAAAACTACCTCATGTGGCTGGAACTGTTCTTAACCCGTTTCTAACCTCACTATTTAGTCATGAGGAAAATAAGCAAATGAGCCAAGTTCCTAGTATGGATGCACACATGCAGGTCTACCATTCACATCCTGTGATGGAAAATAGGAATGGCTTAATAAAATCATTTGATTTATGGAGCAATAAATCTTAACACTTCACAAGAGAACCAGCTTGTGGGCACACACTCCTTCTGGAGTAGCACTTCTATTGGTGGCTAAAAGATTGGGGTCAAGACACCACAAGATCAACATCCCCCATGACTGCAGCCCCTTAAACCAGGAGGCTGAGCATGACAGGAGCCAAGCTGGTGGCTGTGCTTTTCTCTGCTGTCATGGAGAGATGCTAGGAGCAGCAGGCAATTCAGCTGGCACGTCTTTGTAAACACTTATCCCAAGCAGCAGCACAGGCAGCTGTGATGAGAGATTCAAGGAGAAAACCATGGGCTTAACTGGAGATAAGGTGGACTTTGTTATGCCGTGTGCTTCAGTGCTGTGCTTGCTATCTGGTGGGATCACGGCAGGAGCCACCTGATAACAGACCAACCACTAGGAACCCAGCAAAAGCCAACTGCAAAAGCCTGAGCACACAAAGCAAGAGCCTTGAAAGCAAATGAGCAGGAGGAAGAATCGATACCAGCAGAGAGGAAGGCACTGCCCACGCCAGCTCACTGGATCCCCATCCCTAAGGATGCCAGCTCTGCACAAAGCGTGAGGTCAGGTCTGGAGGTGCAGTGTCCCAGTAGGAGCCACATCAGTGACCTGCAGACAGGCCCATTTGCAAAGCTCCAGATGGAGTATATAAAATGAGTGAAATATAAAAATATAAAAATCCTCTTCAGGTTCCCCATAACAGGAGGAACAGATAAATCCTCAGTGCTATTGTCTGCAAGCCACTAGAATCAAACAGGCAATCAGCTCTCCACAGCAAAATACTCCCTTCCTCCCACAGGCATCAGTCCAAGGAAAGTGAAGGCACTTAACAGTCGTGTAAAGAATCAATCATGTATTTCAAGGAGTAGCGGTAGCTCTATCAAGCTGAGAGCACAACAAAACTTAATTCCCATGGGAAATATCTTTCATGAGCAAGCTGCTTAGAGCAGGGAGGAGGGCTCAGACATCAGTCTAGGCTGTTGTATTTTGTTGAGTATTTTTTTTTAAAATCAATTGATTTAATTGCTGTACTGAAGTTCTTTCTCTTCATAAAGATTCAGCAAGTCTTCTGGTGTTAAATTCAGGTTTAGGAATGTGTTAGACCAGTTGTGTAAATTGACCGATGGTCCCCAACCAGGTCTATCAGTTATATCTATGCTCTCTTTACACTGAGCAATGTCAAAGCTGGTCTAAAGAGTTTCAGTTTTCCTTTCAGATTGCCATCATACTGCATTGATCTAGAAAATATTGTAGGTTGTGCGATTAAGCTCACTGTGCTCTTACTGAAAAAGAAGCTAATTTCAGTTTCCTAGCAATTTCTTACCTATTGCTTGGGCTGAAATCGTTTTCTGCTCTACATCAGTTGTTGTACAAACAGGATTTGGACCAAGTTGTTTCTCAGGGCATGGAGGATGTGCCCACATCCTGCCTATCTGCTCTTCCTGATTGGCTTCCAGTGGCTGAGCTGAGCGTCCTGTCCCCCTGTACTGCAAACCTTTGCTAACATCCAGGGCAGGGAAGAACATGCGGAGCACGCATGTCCTGCAAAGACAGGTGGTGGCTGAAGGATGGGAGAATAGCATAGCTCAGATGAGCCCTGACATGGCATTTATGCACAAGATAGAACTTAAGGTGAGATCTAGTAGTATGGTGAGCAAGCCAAAACCAAGAATTTGAAATAAGGACCTGAAGAGCAAAATTAAAACTGAGTAGCTCTGACTGGAGCAAAGGACATCTGAAAGCTACGTAAACCAATCAAATCACTTTGCTGAGCATCTTCTTCAGGATGCTCAGTTTGACATGTTGGGGGCTGACTGGCAGAATAACCAAACTTAACATGTAGTTATGGACAACTTCATTTTGCAGGTACAAAGCTGTAGGTGACAGCTTCTGGGCATTCAGAAAATCCAAACAAGTGAACACATTGGATCCCATCCTCTGTATTCCTGCTGCTTCTCCACAAAAAAGATAATTCTCCAGGAGGACCGCAAATATTAATGAGTAGTTTTGAAGCATGCAGAGTCTGAGCGGTGACAGGAGGAACTGAAAAACCTCAGAGGATGTTAGTCATTTGGGTTTTGAAGCAGTCCTTGAAAGCCCAAATCTGGAAATCTTAAGCTGGCCTAAGGCTACAGAGCAAACGAGAAGAAACTCAAGAACTTGAGTCACACACTGTCAACTCTCTGTACTGAACTAGACACAGGAAAAATGAGAGTTGGCTGGTTAAAGAAAAGACCATGCTGCAAATCATACAGAAAAATGGAAACAATTTAGGTTTGCATGAGAAGCCTTCATTTTGACACATACTGACTTTCAGGCTTTAATGTTCCTTTTCTGTGTACGTACATACAGGTTTAACTAAAATCAAAGACTTCAAAAGGAAATGCTTAAATATGTTTAATTATAAGTGGGGCTACCAAAGCTGAATGTTATTAAGAAGAGCTCAGCTGGAGTCAAAAGACATGAAAATCTACATAAAACAGGTACAAGCTGGAGTTCAGTTTGCTCCCTAAGGTTATGGCATAAAGTTACTCTGTACATACACGGACTAAATTGCTTTTACCTATTACTTAAACCATCAAAATGGATCTTTAAAAGGACATAAACCATGCATAAGCCTCTACTAGCACTTTGTAAAGAATGAATTACATTTTCTATTTTCTTTCCAAGGATTTAAATGGGCTTTGTATTAGGCCCTGAAGCCACACGTACCCAAAAACAAATTATGTATATTAGTTTATATTGTGTACTGAGGATTTATTTCTCTCAACTACACTGCTGCATGTTATTTCAGACTAATTTTCTTATTGTCTTCCTGATCACAGCACCTAAAACGTTCTCTTCAACTGTTTAATAAAGGCTTTCAACCCCATACAAACCACAGTCAAATTAATTGGTGTTATTAAGGCTACGTCGCTACGGCCACATTTTGGCCTCCCTGTTTCTCTGGAAACTGCAACACAGCATTAATCCATTTATGTCCTTTACAAAATATGCAAAGTTTAACCTCAAGATCCGTCTGTTCACTTGTTCAGTTACGAAGTCGTATGTCTCCATTATCAGACAACTGGATATTCACAGCAGTGTAAACGAAACTGTGAAAATGAGTGTGGGCTGAAGACGTGGTGGAAGGAGGTTCAGCTGGAGCTATGGCTGAGCTACCAAAATACATGTTCAGTTCCTGAATGCAGATGTAGTTATATCATCATGAATACGTTGTGTATGTCAACGAATGTAAATTCCTCTGCTGGCACACATAGTTACTGTTACACCAATACAGCTCTGGATGTGTAAACACTAAATGGCCTCACTCGGAGCAGGAAGAATCATCATTTTTCTTTCAGAAAGTAACTCTGACCAGGACAATAAACATTAAGCTGCTTTCAAACAGACTCTTATTCTGAATTAAAGAGAGTTTGAATCTTGAGGTACCATCTTAAAGTTACCCAAGGACAATCACATCATACAGTTGACCTACCTCCTGCTCTTTCTTTAACATCTCCATGGCTTCCCGAAACTTTCTTTCCTTTTCTTCTGTTTCAGCAATGGTGGCTTGGTTCTGCTCTTCATATGCCATGGCCACCACAGCCAGAATCAGATTGACCAGATAAAACGAGCCCAGAAAGATGACCAGCATAAAAAAGAGCATGTAGATCTTCCCAGCAGATCTGAGAGTCTAAAAGTATAAAGGTAAAATCACTAAGACAGTATTTTGAAAGGGAAAAAAAAAAAAAAAAAAAAAAAAGATACTTTGATTCTTTTTTAAACATAGATTTAAAATATAATTTAATTCAGCTTTTGTTCATCATAGAATCATAGAATCACCAAGAAAAAGACTTTCAAGATCCAGTCCAACCAGCTGCCTATCACCCATAGTTCTGTCTAAACCATGCCCCTCAGCACAATGTCTAAACATTCCTTGAATGCCTCCAGGGTCAGTGACTCCCAGACAGAATCAGTTCTGTGACAAATGATGACATCATTAACCAAAATAACCTTCTCAACAGTAAGTTTTCATACTGTAGTCAAAAACTGTGTGCTTTGCACTAGGACTCATTTTCAAAATGAGAATGTTTTAGCAAACATTTCTGAATGTTTTCTTTGAGAACAAATACATTTTATATACACACATATATACCCTGCAATAGCTCACACAGCTTAGCCTACTGTTGTCTGCTCCATAGGAACTTTCCAAGAGGGATTCACCTTATTTCTGTTCAGATATCAACAATGAAGGTCCTTTTGCAGTTGATGGAGAGAAAAGAGGTACTTTTGGGGTGTAATTCAGTTAAGCATTGTTTAGAGATCTGCCTTGTATTAAGCACCCTGGGTTTGTTGACTGTACTGTCCAGTTCTTCACAAGAATCATAGACATAAACAGAGTTTAGCATGGTAGGTTGAGCTTATATTGCAGATATGTAAGAGCTTGACACTGCTGATAGAAACTACCGTGTGCTATTATGAGGTCCAATAATAGGAATGATGTTCACCATTATTTGCTACAACAGTTTCAGCCTTTCAGAGTTGTGCATGCAGTTCTGCACCACACAAATGTTGTCGTTCAAAGAATCTTTGATTTCCTTGTTACACATTTTCCTGAAATCAAACTGCATGACTCTTTGCACATGAAGCAGGAATCCCTGGTACCTTCCAAGGTGTCTAAATTCCTTCAATTAGGAATTTTCTGGACAAGATCCCTTGATTTCCTTATGAGCACTGTCTGGTTTTGGCAATTTTGAGATGGAGAAGTAAATGCTCAATGGTTTCATGGACAGAGCATGTAATTCAATACCAAACTATCCCATGCATTTCTTCAGGATATGCATATATTTGGGAAATGCATGCTAAAATGAAAATTTACTAGCAGACCACTTTGCACGTATGGCTGTAAGTTAACCCCATTTGTGGTCCTGGATCTTAGGTGTTTGCCATGAAAGGCTTGCCAAGAGGTACCAGGTAGCTTCACTGTCTAATAAATTTGTGTTCATTGCTATGCCTTGAAAAAATAGATACGCCAAGTACACAGTGCATTTCTGTTTGCTTATTTGCTTGTTGTTGAACTGGATTCAGAAGACCGGTTCGTGCTACATCAGCCACAAACATCATTAAGCAGTGATGTGGTGTCTTTTTTTTTAAACAGTGAACTTTTTCTGAAGTTCAGGTAAATTCAAAGCGTTCTGCTCTTAACTCCAATTCTGCCCTCTCCCCCAAGCAGCCAGTCTAATGCATTCTCATACGATCAACGCTTCTAAGTAAGGAAATTAATTGTAATGATTGATGGTCCTTGTCCAGAACACACCAGGAACAGTTTTCTTAATAACTAGGAATTCTTTCTTGCCTTAAATTATTAGATATATAACTATAACAAAATGTTGTGTTTATTTTCTATTTAAAAAAGCAATAGAACACACTCATACCTGTTGGTAGAGGCGTTCCCAATAATCTTGAGTCATAAGACGGAACAGAGAGAGAAAGGCCCAGCCAAAAGTATCAAAGCTTGTGTAACCGTGGTCAGGATTTTCCCCGGCCTTCAGACATATGTATCCCTCAGGGCAGGTGCTGCAAAACAGGAGAGACAATACATGAAATGTCACATAGTTGGCTTCAGTATGGAAAAATAGATTTCAAGGGACAATATTGAATGTTCTTGCTTGAATGCACAGATGCTCCAAGGTAAATTCTACTGAGTGAAAACACAACGATATATGCTAACTTCACAGTACCAAGGATCTTTGTAATCTCATTTTTCCTTTGAAAGAGCAAACTGGGAAATGGTAATCACAGCTAGAGCCGAAACGGCGAATGATTACCTGCCACTCTGCTATTTGGAATAGACAGAAATGAGGCAGGACTTTGGTACTCAATGTAATTTCTCCTACCACTTAATCCTAATTAAAAATCATAAACTTGGTGTCTCCTGTTACAGTTCTGGGTAACACTGTGATGGTGAAACTCCTTTTCTGGTTTTGTTGTCTGACACTGGCTGCACATCGTCAGCATCTGCCATCTGAGCTCCTTCCTGATTGATTACCTGACCTCACACTCACCCCCTGCAAGGACTAAATCTTCAGTCTAAGAAACCCAACCTTTTGTTCCAACATTGGTTTAGTATGGGGTCATGACATTTTTTTTTGTTTTGACCAGGAAAATATTGCAGATCCACGTATTAAATGGCAAGCAGATACCATGACTTACAGTGGCTCTCATTAAACTTTAAGACTCTTTACAAGTGATTTTCTAGCCCCTGATGCCTGAACTGAAAAAGAACACTCTCTGCTTTAGGTCCAGCAGTGGTACTAAGTACCAAACTGCACCTCATCAAATTAAATAGCACAAGGTGGCAGAGATCCCGGATCACTGAGCCTCCTTTTCCAGCAGTATGGCAAGAAACATTTAGTCAAAAGACCCCACACACCCTCACACCAGAAGCGACTTCGCAAACTTCCGAATACTGCCACACAGCACAAGGCAAAGCAATAATGTAAATAAAGAACAGTCATTTTCAAATGACACATATAGACAAAAAAGATTCATTAGAATCTGTGCATCATTAGGCTGTGCATCAACAGGAAGATCAAGGATAAATTTACATATATGTAAGTTTTATACCGATACAAGCCAAATCTCTGCAGTACATGGTAAGAATCCAGCACTGCATGTTGAGCTGAGGATACACTGCTAGAGGTTCTGAAGTTATACAAATCTGTGGTGTCAGCCACCGACATTACACATTCAAGAACATTTTAAGAAGCTTAATTTAATATCATTAGTCAAGCATAAATTTTCAAATAAGTCTGCTTTGAACACTGAAAAAGGAGTGTAGAGGCACTGCAAAATGTCTGTGAAGCCATATTTGTGGTGATCTTCAAAAAAGCAATGAACAGTTGATGCTTAATGAATTAAGTGTAATACAAGTTAATGTATGAAGTGATTCTGTCATCTCAGGTAGAGCCAACTTAGTTTTTATCAGCTGAGAATTTAGACAATGCTAACTGTATCTCACAAAGAAAGAAGAAGGAAAATGCATCTCAATTTCTCTGCCTAGAAATGCTTCCTTCTAGAGTTTTCCTACTTCCTATTGTTCCCTGATCAGAGCCACATTTGAACAAAAATTCAATGAAGTAACATTTCTTAGAAAAGAAGAAAATGCAGAAATTTGGGCTTCCCCCTCTCCCCTAAAATATGCAAAGGCACGCTGAATTCCTCTTGTATAACCATGTCCTTTATTCAGGCAACGTTTTCACTAAATCTCCTCCCTCCCAGAGGCAGCATCTGCTGTCACTTTGCCACAGAGACATGAGATTTCTGCCTCAGATCTGCTGCTGCAGACGGCCTACAGTGCCTGTGACATGCTGCTGACACCGTTCAAGAGCTCTGAGAAATAGATGCTCTGGGTTCCAGAGAAGAAAACCCTTTCTGCTTGCATGCACTAAAACATCATGCCCAGGCAGGACATGAAAATTCTTGTTAAGGCTCTTTCCCTTTGCAATGAAACTAAATTCATTGACACGCTCTGCTTGCCTGGAAACTGAGTTATTATTTACAGAGGTGGACAAACTTTCACGGAATCACAGAATTGTTTGAGTTGGAAGGGATCCTTAAAGGCCATCTGGTCCAACTCCCTGCAATGAACAAGGGCACCTACATCTCCATCAGATGTCAGAGACCCATCCAGCCTGACCTTGAGTGTCTCTTTCCTTAGTCCTGCATGAAAAGCTGATATCAAGAAGATCCAGTCATCTGCTCTCACTGCTCTTATTTTAATATTACTACTAATAGCCAAAACATTAGAGTGCAGCTCTGAGAAACTCAATAGGTGATTTCTTTAATGGTGAACCTAAGCATAGGTTGGGCAGCAGGCTGGAAATTAATTTTCAGTGAGGATAATTTGGTCACATCTTAAGCAAAATAGAAATGTTGTCATTAATTTCCTGAGAGAATTTCTGGTTAATTTCCTCAGACTTTCCCATTTCTGATGAGAGATCTGTGCCTAAAAAGAAGGGAATATTGAGAGTATTACATGTTTATCCATGGCAGGCAAAGCTCTCATCACCATGAGATCAGAGGTTGCAAAGCCACTGTCAGGTTTACTGCCAATGTTTCTGATTGGGAAAACTTCATTTTGAAGAAGAAGGCTATTTGTAGAAATTGCTTGAAAAACCTGAGAAATGGATATGCAATTCTTCTGACTATGAAATTGAGCAACATCTCCTCAGACTAATTTTTTATATTTTATAACTTTTTTATAACACTGTTACCGTCTTTCCATGTTTTGTTCTACTTTTATGTATCTCAGAAGTAATTTCCACGAAGCAATAGATTGTTAGAGCAAAAAGATGGGTGTGGTTTCATAGTGGGTGTACACAGTACTCTAATACAAGGGCTTCTCTGACAGTAATGCCTTCTATTTTATGATGATGGCCCACAACATCAGAGGTAGATACTGGTATTGCCAGTAGAAGTTGAACCTTCCCGACAGTATTCCTGGGTGGTGCATCTCAGCAGTGGCAACACTGACCACATTCCAGACAGTGGAGCACAGTTATCACACCAAGAAATTAAGAGCATCTCAATCAGCACAATGGATTATGACCAGGGAATGTATATCAAGCTGAATATTGGCCTCAATGAGTTGGAAACGATGATGGCAACATTGGAATATTGCAAAGTTTGCAGTAAGTGGGTCCCTTGAATGCTAACACAAGAACAGAAAGAACACCATATGCAAGTTTGTTAGGACCTGCTGAGTCAATATGAGGCTGAAGGTGATGGTTTGCTGGATAGCAATCATTACTGGTGACATAATATCACCACTATGAGACAGAGTCAAAATGGCAGTTCATGGAGTGGCAACATGAATTTCCATTGAAGGTAAAGTTCAAGATGCAGCCCTTGGGGTAAAGTGATGTGCACTGTCTTTTGGGATGGAAAAGGGGCGATCCTACTGGCTTTCCTGGAACTTGACCGTCAACTCTGACCATGATGATTGTTGACTAAGCCGAAGGCTCAAACTTCCAAAGTCAGGCCAGAGAAGAAGACAATCTTTCTCTGGCAACATGATAACACCAGGCCCCAGGCCAGTTTGAAGACCATGGAGCATATTGCTAGCCTTGGCTGAACTTGTCCTGCTACACTCACCATATAATCTGGTTTTGGTGCCTTCTGATTTCCATCAGTCCAGGCTAATAAAAGATGGACTGTATGAGCAACATTTTCCTAGCAACTATGTCATCATAGCAGCTGTGAAACAGTGTCACCTCCATTGGTGCACATTTTTATGAGCATGGCATGCAGTTCATCACTGCTGAAAATGCATAGTGAATGGCAGTGACTATGTTGAAAAATAGCATTTTGTAGCTGAGCGTTTTTTTCTATCAAACAGCTTTATTGTGCTCTTTGTATCTGTTGTCATTTCTGTGGACATAAATAGGAGGCACTGCTTTCAGAGAAACCTATATAATATACACAGGTGTATGATGAGCTACCTTCAGCACAGAAAACCTGAACTCTTGCTCAAAGAATGCTATTAACATTAGCTCACATCCCTCTTAACAGAGGCTAGATGCTTGAGACAAAAATCTCTTATATATCAGCTCCTTACACTTCCTCATCCTCTTTCGTAGCCTACAGAAGTGATAGCCTGTGGGTTGTGGGTGCTCTGAAAAACTCTGAGAGGGAAAGGAAATGCTGCTTCCCAGAAAAATACTCAACAGAACCTTAGGTGGAAGGCTTTCACATGAGAGTATTATTCTGCAACTGACACCATTTCCTCTGAGGATTTTTGTAAGGAGTCTCAAGATTTTGCTGAAGTGTCTTAGCTGTATAATAGTCGTCCCCTCCAGATTTTTTTTTTTTTTTTCAAGCTCTTTAGCTTCTTTTACCTCAGGGAAGCATTACAGAGGATTGCACTCTCCTCTGATTCACAAGGATGGGCAGCAACAACAAAATACATAAATACAACATCCTGCACAGGAGCCTCCTAGGATACTGTTCAATTAATCACAGTAAAAATTAGTGTCATTGATTTGGAAAAGTTAAAAGCATCAGTCTACCTACCCATCCATCAGGCTGTAATCACCACTGTAAGCTGGCAGTAGCACAGGAAATTAAAGAATAAAAGAAACAGCTTTGTTTTAAATAACACAGATTGGGAATGCCAGATAGTTGTAGCTGAGGGGCATAATTACAAAATGTTCTGGCTCAAGAGTTTAATCTCAGCAAGCCAAGGAACCTGCTGATTCAGACTGCAGTGGCCAATAAGGTTGTGCAATAAAAGATTTGTAAAACAACCACGTGCTGGGTTGTAACATTCAGACGCTGCAGATACGGGGAGTGTTGTCCATGTGTTGCCAGGAGTTAGCAACAAACCACTGCTCAAGTCACGCACATCAGCAGCACAGTCAGGTCTGCCCCTTTATCTGGAGTAGGCTGCAAAAGCTCACTATGGTCTGCCACACTTAATTGCTTACAAAAGAAGCAACAGCGCGCATTCCACAGACACGCATCAAAATGGAATAAATAAAGCCATAAAAATAAACAAATAAACAAGGAATGTATGA